GCGGCGGCATTCTGGCTGCCGTGCTGGACTCGGCCCAGTTCCGTTCGGTTCGCGTGATGGCTGCCGTCAGCAGACTGATTCCGAGAGTCGTTTTCGTCGCTTCGTCTCCCTCGCACTCACCGGCCGTTCCGTATGGATGCGAGAGAGACAGAGCGACTGAAACGACTCTCGGAGTCAGTCTGCAGACAGCTCCACGGTCCACACTGCCACTCTAATCGCATTCCTCTTGGAGATGACATTCCTTCGTCTGCCGGCACAGAGGCACACTCAGACGCCACGTCGGTCTCATACGGACGGTAGTTTCTCCTATCGGACCGCCACGGGCAGAAGCCGCAGGAACTAGCTACCTCGGAGGCTTGGTGCATCCGTATCGAGAGGGGTAACCAGAAGACCGGTGGAGGCGGCCAAACTCCCGGACGCGCGTTTTGTTTCGAGTTCCAGGGCGTGTGATGCCACCAATGGACTCCTCGTTCGGAGAGCAATCCGTTGGCGGGGTCACGCGTTCGCTTCGCTGTTCGAGTCCTGTTCAGGGACTCTGGAAGTTACCCCCTCGACTCCTCTGCCGCGGCGTCGCGATCTCCTGTCCCTGAAAAGACGGCGGCGTGGCGTCGGCCCCTTTGTCGGGCGCCTCGATGGCCGATTGTCACACCGCCTGCCTATAAAGTGACACGTTTTGTCGGCGAGGAGGGGCGGCGCGCGCGGCGCTGCACTGAAAGGACGACTCAGGCTCCAAATCCCGCCAACTTTTTGGGCCTCTCCCCTCCCTCCTTTTCATCTTTTCCAATTTCTCTATTTTTAGCCGCCCGGGGCAATGGGAGCAAACGCCACTCCTCGGCCAGGCGCTTTGTTCGGCTGTTCCGGATATAACGTTTAGCATTCCTCGGCGCGGCGGGGGGCTGGGGAGGTAATTGAGGCCACCTCCTTCTTCGAGGCCGTCTTCTTCGAGTCGGGCGACACTTTTCCGACGACGCGGAAGTTTGCCGCTGGTGAACAAAAAGTGAGGGAAAGCGGCGCAGTGATAGGCATCGGCCCGGCTTCACAATTATTTTCCTTGGTGGTTTTTTCGGTTTTTTTTTGCAGGGTTGGAGTTTGTGTTAATCAGGAAGCTTCTTCTGCCGCGGACGTTCGGCAGCAGGGCGAAGGCAGGCCGTAGACACCCCTCGCTGCGTCACTGCGTCGCTGGGCGTTGAATGCACTTCTCCGCTTTTGTCGAGCCCGATTGCACGCGCCCCGCGTCGGCAGCCTTGGCGGCGGGCCAGCGTGTCACCGCCGCACCCCACCGCACCCCACACCATCGCCCGGCCCGGCGTTCGCGCCCAAATCCCACTTTAACAGAGTCCCCTCCATATTCGGCGCCGCACCGCCGTACCTCAGCCCGGTAGTCTTTCAATCAATTTCGCTGCGACGCGAGACAAGCCCTACTTCGTGACGCCGAGCCACCCCCTGCCTCCCTGCGCCGTGGGCTACGGCCTGGGCTACGGCCTGGCGGGGCCGCGCCCCGTCGACTTGATCCACGAGATTAGGTGCTGCATCCCTGCTGCAGCGCGCCGCGCCGTCACCCCGGCCGTCGAAGGGATCCACCACCCCGGGGCCGCCGTCGGGGGAGGCCGGCGAAAAAATGGCGGGAAAAGGAGATGAATTTTTGTTTATTGTCGGCTTGCATAATAGTGGTGAAGGGCTTACGAGCGGATGCCGGGGAAATTACAAACTGGGCCCGCGGAGGGCCGATCCGCCGGGCCCGAGGCGGGGCGGGGCGGGGCGGGGCGGGGCGGGGCGGGGCGGGGGGGGGCCCGGGAATGCCGGGCGTCCCGCGGGGCGCGGGGGGCCCCGGGCCCCTTTGGGGCCCCGGGCCCCCTCGCTGCACTTGAATAAAACTAGTCCTCCCGAAAATCCCCGAAAGGCGCGGCAAAACGCTTAAAAATTGGAATCGTGGTTTTTTGGAGGCCGCCCGTCGCGCCCTTCCGCGGCCCGCCCCGGCCCGCCCCGCCCCGCCCGTGCCGACGCGGCGTCCCCAGGGCGGCGAGGCTCAGCGCAAAGCGGCCGCGGCGCCCTCTTCTCCTCTTCCTCGAGGCCTTCGGGGCCTTGGGCGGGCGCTGCGCGCTGCGTGACGCGAGATACCGAAGGCCTTCCCTACAGTGCCGCGGGCCCGGCCAGGCCGAGCAATGAGAGGAATACATGCATAAGAATGGCGGATGGCGGCACAAACCCCATAATGCCGCCGTTATTGTTGATCGGAGTCAAAGGAGCGCTCTCTAGCTCTCCTTTTCCGTCTCCCCCCCCCCCCCCCTCCCTCTCTCCTCTCTCTCTCTCTTCTTTTCTCTCTCTCTCCTCTCTCTCTTCTCTCCTCCTCTCTCCTCTCTCTCTCTCTCTCTCTCTCTCTCTCTCTCCGCGAGCGTATTGCCGCGAGGAATCCTCCTTGGCACCCGGTTTACGGCCCGCGTTTTACACCGGCCTCACCTGTGGATCAGGTGGCTCACGGTGTAGGAGAAACAGTGACGCTGAGCACAGCGGGCCAGAAGACCGTTGGAGGCGGCCGAAATTCTAGACGTGTTTGAGCTCCAGAGTCGCTAAACAAGACTCAAACCAAACGTGTGACCCCACCGATGGATCGCTCTCCGAACGAGGAATCCATTGGTGGGGTCACACGCTCGGCGCGAGTCTAGTTTAGCTACTCTGGAGCTGAAAACGCGTCCAGAATTTCGGCCACCTCCACCCGTCTGCGCAGCGTCCACGCAGCACATAGCGACACACAGTCAGGAAAGCGCGCACCACGCACAGTTTGCTTCTTTGGTGTTGTTTTCCCCCGGAAGCCCGTCGTACAAATTGCCCGGCCGTCTCAATCGAAAAACTTTGATACGCCACAAGTGTTTGCTCTCACGCTAGGCTAGGGGCTAGGGCCGGTCGGGCAGGGGGACTTCCCTGACATGATAAGCGTGGCGCTGGAGGACGCCGCGACTCGGCGCGGTGGGGCCCGTCCGGCCGCGCCGCACCAACCCCTTTCCGCGCCCCGCCCCGCCCCGCCCCGCCCCGCCCGCCCCGCACACGCGCGTAGCGATGGTATCTCCGGCGCACTTTGCCGGGCGTGTTCTCTATTTGCACTCGAATGCCGCGGCGCCGCGCGAGGATCCCTGCGAGGCCCCGTCGTCGGCGCGTGCGTGCGTTCGGGACGCGCGTATGTACAGTGTGCGGCGCGGAACTATGAGCATAAATCTGGGGTGGGGCTACGCGCCGCGCGTCCGGCGGTGGGGCTCCGCGGCGTGGCAATGCAAGGCAATGCTGTGTATCGCCCCGCCCCGCCCCGCCCCGCATAAATATCCGGGCAAGAAAGCGCGCCCCCCGCCGGAATACGAAAGCGCGTCGCGACGCCGCCACCGCCTCGGACACGACAAGTTTGTAGCGGAGCGGGGCAGATTTTTATTTCGCAAGTGTTATGTTACAGAACGCGCGACGCGCGGGGCGTGGCGGGCATCGACGTGGTTTATAGTGCTGGTGGTGTTACCCCTTTCCCTATCGCGAGTTTGCCATCCCGCCTAAGGCGAGACCGCCCCCTGGATGAACTTGATGGCCGTGCTGGATGAGCAACGCCCTCCTTTAAAGCAGTTTTTTTGCACCTCCCCCAAGGTGCGGCGCGGCGCGTTTTTGAAACAGTTTTGACAGAATTAATAGACGCGACGACGGCTTCCATTTGTCATGGCGGTCCGCGCTGCCGTCGTTTTCGTCGCTCTGTCTCTCTCGCACCTAGAAGGGACGCTCCATGAGTGCGAGAGAGACAGAGCGACGAAAACGACTCTCGGAATCAGTCTGCTGTAGCGGAGCAAGCGGAGCCTGGCGGCGAGGTGGCCGGGTTGATTATGACGCCGTCGAACAAAAGACGCTCTTCGCGCGGCCGCCCGCCCCGCCCCCCCCCGCCCCGCCCCGCCCCGCCCCGCCCCCCCCGCCCCGCCCCGCCCCCCCCCGCCTGGCAGGCCCCACCGTGCGCCGCGCCGCCCAAATCAATCAAAACGACCTTGTTTTTTGTTGCTTCCCCTGTGCGAGGGGTGGAGCAGCGCACTGATTCCGAGAGTCACTTTCGACGCTCCGTCTCTCTCGCACCCGAACGGGACGCGCCATGAGTGCGAGGGAGACAAAGCGACCCTCGGAATCAGTCTGCAGGCACTGTCGCGGGGCGGGCAGCGGGCGGCTGTGGCGAGGTGTAGGTGGCTGCAATGCACTCTTGTAATCGCCACCGCGTTGGGCCACCCTGACGGCTGTCTGTCACTTGGAAGGGAAGGTCACCCTGCTCCTTCGATGCGAGCACTCGGAGTCGAACAATAATGAAACCGGAATATTTGCAGTAGGAGGGAGTGTGTTGGTGCGTTTCGCAGCTTGCCGACACGCCGACAGAATAAAGTCCGAGGGGGCAAAAACTCGGGATTTTCGTGTACACATGATTCGGAAAACGCAATGATTGCGCATGGTTTTAATTGATTTCATGGCTGATTTTGCCTTATTTCGCGACGCACCAGGGTGATGTTGAGCGTGATTGCGTGTGATTGTGTTCGGAAAGAAATGATTTTGGACTGATTTGGCCTGGTTTCGTGTAATTCTGCCTAATTTTGGTCGATTTGTGATTTTTGGGTGATTTCGGATTGCTTTTTTTCGCGTGATTTCAATGATTCGGGTGTGATTCGGGGGCCGTGTACACATGATTGCGCGAGTTTTTGCCCCCTCGATAAAGTCGCGTCTCGATATTCCTTTGGGCCCGCCCGGGCCCAAAGTCCCACGCAACCCGGCGGCTGGCTGGCGGCTGGTCCCGCGGAAGGCCCCGCTGTGCGTGCTGCTGGTGCGGCTGCACCCCGCTCCCTGCTCCGCCCCTGGCCGCCGCCGTGCGGCCGCCCCTCTCGCTGGCTGGTGGGGCTGCGTGCGCCCTGGTGCGCCCTGGCCGCGCCGCTGCCGGTCCCCACGGAGCGCGGAGCCCGCAGTCCGCCGGCGCCGCTCGCCCCGAACACACGCCTCCGCGCCGCGCCGCGCTCCGGCCGCGCCGCGTGCTGCGACTCGCAGTCCAACAAGTGGCCGACGAGTCGTGCCGAGTCGCGACGACGACCAGGACGTCGCGATGGTGTGACTGTGGATTACTTTCCCGGGAGTGCGTCGCGCCGACGCCGCGCCTCGGCCGCAGGAGAGTGGCGTGCGTGTGGTTTGTGTGGCATGCGTAGACGGCCACCGCGGAGCCGCCCATCGTAGACGACGTAGACGAGTGCGTGCTGCGTGCGTTTGGTTAGTAGAGGTGATGGAGTAGCGGGCGGTAGCGGGGGAGCGGCTCTTGTGTTTCGCGTGCTGCTTGCCAGTAATTTGTCCCGCGAACCAGAAGATCGGCCAGAGCGCACAGTGGGCCAGATGATCGGCGGAGGCGGTCTAAGTCCCCGTCGCGTGTTGAGCTCCAGAGTCGCTGAATGGGACTCGAACCGAACGTGTGATCCTACCAATGGATTTCTCTCCGAACGAGGAATCCATCGGTGGGATCACATGATTGATTCGAGTCCTGTCCAGCAACTCTGGAGCTCTAAACGAGTTTTGGCCGCCTCTACCGGTCTTCTGGCCCACTGTGCGTCACAAACATTTCAGAAATCATTGGACTTCTTGAACATGTGTGTTGAATTTCTGGTTTTATTTGGTGATATGACAAGTCGCTCTCCCTCGTAGAATGTTTTGAACAACGGTAAATGTCGAAGTGATTTTTTTTAGCGAGTGTGGGTTTTGCAGTGTGTGTATTTCCTTGTGCTGTGTGAGTAGTGTTGTCGGCGAGAGTGCGAGAGCAAGCAACGCGTTATTCGTGCTGAGCCGCTTCAAGCGTCGAGCGGGCTGTCTCCAGGATTGGCGAATGGGGCGAATATCGAAGGCGCGGCGTTTGCTGACGGCCTCTTTATCGGAGCCGCCTATTACGCCTGTCGGGGTGAAGTGCGTCGCAGAGGGCGCACAGTGGGCCAGAAGACCGGTGGAGGCGGCCGATACTCTAAACGCGTTTTGATCTCGAAAGTCGCTAAACAGGACTCGAATCGAACGTGTGACCCCACCAATGGATTCCTCGTCCGGAGAGCAATCCATTGACGGAGTCACACTGACGTTCGGTTCTTGTCCCTTTCAGCGACTCTGGAGCTCAAAACCCGTCCGGGATTTTGACCGCCTCCTCCGGTCTTCCGGCCCACTGTGGGGCGGCGGCGGACTTCTTGCCGATACGCGTCCTGTCTGTCCTCAGGGCCATCCGAGCCGTCTTGTCGCTCGGGACAAATTTATCGCACCAAGCCGCCAGCAGCGCGTTCGACAAGGACGGATTTTTTCCCCGGCCGCAATGTCGCCGTGTTGCGATGCTGCCTGCCACACTGCCACAAGGCTTCCAGCCCCGACTGGCCGCCTGATCACGTCGACGTAATCCGCGCGCCCCACTGGCAACGCACGCGGCGCCGCCGCAGGGACAAAACAAAGGGGAAAACGAAACGAAAAAGAAAAACAAAAATCGCTGGCGGCAGCGCGAGCCGCGCGCGGTATGAAAAGCGTTTTGCTTTCAAAAATATTACTACTCGCTCACTTCCCTGATGGTTTTGTAGATGACACGTGCGCGCGCGGCCCTCTGTGCGATGGGGACGCGGGGGCACTCCGCGTGTATCAAATAAAAAGCGACAAAAACAACAACAGCAACAACAACGACGTCGAAACGCGCGTATGAAGAGGGGGGCTCGTTTTGTGTCGGAGTTGATGCGTCGCGCGCGGAATCGTGTGGGGCAGAGCCTGCGATCGGGTGGGTAAGGCGGCCGAGCGCTACCCGGCCGGCCTGGCTCTCTTTGACTTGCTCACCCGGCCACAGCCGGCCCATACCCAGACCCAGACCCACCCGCTGTTGAGGTGACCGGGTAACGCGCTACCCACCACGGGTGAACAGACCCAGCGTGCCGACGACGGCTCGTCCCGAGCCCAGCGCGGCCCGCAGCCGTCGCCGGCGAGGCAGGCGGCAGTCAGCGAGCCGCCAGTCGACACAGCTGTCTCTCTCGCACTCTTTGGCTGCTTATGGGAGTGAGAGAGCGAGATGCCACTCGCCTGACGCCCGTCAGTCGCTTGGCGCGGCTGTGGTTGGTTTTGCCTCGCCGTCGGCGCTGTGGCTCGTCGATCGGGCGCTGGTCGCCGCCGCTGGCTGCTACGTGTGCGTGTGTGTGTGTGTGTCAGTCTAGGTCGGGCCGGCCAGCGCCGACTGAACCTGTGCTGGCACCGGGTAAGAGCGCTCACCCGGCCGGGGACGGCGGGTGAGAACGCGGCAGCTTACCCACCCGATCGCAGGCTCTGGTGTGGGGCCCATGTGTGTGAGTGGTGTGTGTGTGTGTGGGGGGGGGGGGGCGCTTCTGTGTCTGTATGTGTGCATACGCACCGAGAGCAGTACGGAGCGGCAGTACGACGCCCCGTCTATTTCTGTGTTGACGCGTCTCGGCCTCGTTCGCACCTCCCACGGTGCAGACGGTGTCTGTAAAAAAGAAACAACAGTCAGCCTTATTTTCAGCAATTGCCGTAAATTTAGAAATCTCCGTGTTGCCTTGCGGTGGCAAAGTGTGAGCGATGCCGTCACAGTCGTGTCCGACCCTCTGCGGGGTGGACAGCGGCTGGCCGTGCTGCTTGTCAAAACAGTGTCTCCGACGGCCTGACCGGCTGGCTTGTTGTCGGCGAGCACCCCGTCGTCGGGCCCCTCCCTTCACTCCCTCGCCCCGCCCGCAGCAGACTGATTCCGATTCCGAGAGTCGTTTTCGTCGCTCTGCCTCTCTCGCACTCGCGGGGCGTGCCGTATAGGCGCTAGCGAGACAGAGCGACGAAAACGAGCCTCGGAATCGTCCTCCAGCAGGTGGAGGCTGGCAGCGCTGGCAGTGTACCGCGGCGGGGCTCCCAGTTCCCCCTTTGCTTGCCGACGCCGCGGGTTTACGGCACAGATCGCGCAGCGCCGTCGCGAACAATACGCCGAAATTATCGCTGCATCATCACTTAGACCCCCCCACCCCCTTCCCCCCTTTTCGCCCCCCGAGGCCGTTTTATTGACGACGTGGCGTTTGCGCCCCGACCACCGTCGGTTTAAGCAGAGCGCCGCCGTGCGCGCAGGATTTATTGTGTAAAAAAAGAGGAAATTCGACACACAAAAAAAAAGAGACATGAAAAAAAAATTGGACGCCGGTCCCGATCACGATCCGGGCGACACTTGTTCGTCCAGCGAGCGTCCTCCTCCACTGTGATTCGTTCAACTGGGGCAATCAGTCAACGCACTCTATCGCTGCCATTGTCTTTCCCCCCTCTCTCTCTCTCTCTCTCTCTCTCTCTCTCTCTCTCTCTCTCTCTCTCTCTCTCTCTCTCTCTCTCTAGCCGCAAGCGACAGTCGCGGAATTGAAGGGAGAGAGAGATGAGTTAGGGGATGGAGTGCCCGCGGCTAGACGGCCGCAGCCTGATATAACGGCGTTTCGATGAGGACGAGCGGGGAAGGGGAGGGGGGGCTCACCGCGGGGGCTTGGCGGCGGTCCAGCTCCCTGGCCAGGCTTGCCGGCTTGCCGGCTTCCAGGCTCTCCAACCTGATCTGGCTCTTCGCGCACGCTCCCCTTTCTCTTTCATTTGTGTTTTTCTTTCTTTTCCTTCTCTCTTTTTTCTCTCCACTGTGCTGCGCACCTGTCTTCCGGGTGATGGCCTCGGGGCCGCTGGTTCGGCGGCGCGGACTTGAACAACGCAACCCTCTTGGGCTTGAATCCGAGTGCCGGCCGATGACGGGGAGCCGTCGCGCCGACATGACCCTCTCGATGGAGGCGGCCGGGCAGGCACCCCTGGGACGGGGAGGCGCCCGCCTCACAACGGCAGGTTGCCGTCAACGGCTTGAGGGACCTGGGGGCGTCGCCCCGCATCGCCCGTGTCACAAACTTCATATTCAAATCGAGCGGCGAACTGGCTCGGCGGGGCGGGGCGGGGCGGGGCGGCCCCGGAGGTGGCGCGGTGCTCTCCGCCTCCTCCTCGCCCTCCCCGGCTTCCTGCCGCTCCACACGTGTGAGGCCGAGGCCTGCAGGCCCGCGGGTACGAGGCGCGCCAAACCGTTCCAATGTGGACGCCTTGCCTCCCCCAACGGCCTCCTCAAGATGGATGTGCTGACGGAATTGAAAGTAAAGGTGGCGGCCGAGTGGGGCGGCTGGCTGGGCTGCCCGTCGGCCGGCGGGGCCCGGCGTTGGCCGTCGGCGGGGGCAGCTGCGCCCGGCCTGCCGAGCCCGCGTTCGGTCCGGTGTACGCCCTGCGGCCTCTCCGCTCCGCTCCGGCTCCACTTGGACGCGCCGCTTCATCATACCCAGCCAGCCAGCGCCGCGGCAAACTTTCCGTCCGTCCGTCCCGGCCTCCGTCCCGGCCGTGCGTCCGTCTCCCTGACGCCGCCTCGCTCGTTCCGCGCGACATGCCGTGATTGCGCAAGTTGTGCCGCGCGTCGCGCGTTGGGGCCTCGTCAGCGAAATCCGCGTGTCACGGCGCCACGGCGTGTCGCGGCGATAAGCCGAGCGGAAATGAAGACGCCCTGCCGGTTTGTTTTGACGCGGACGGATATGTTTCGGAGAAGGCGAGATAAAGCTATCCTGCTCTGCATCTCCCCGAAGGCCCCGAAGCCCGCCTGGAATCGACCACTTGACCCCACCAGCGGATCGGCCGTTGAACGACGAGCCCATTGGTGGGGTCATGTGTTCGATTCGAGTCCCGTTCGAGGAATGCGGAGGCACAAACGTGCCCAGAGTCGATCTCGGCCTGCACGGCCTCCTCGGTCCAGACGGACTGGCCGGCTACTCTCGGGATTATTGCGGCTGTACTGCGAGTCTGTGTGCGGCTGAGCGAAAAGTTGCACCACGCCGCCGCCCCCGCGCCTGCCCCCGCCGCCCCCACGCCGCCACGGCTGCCCCCAGGGGTACGACGTGAATTGATGCTTTACCCCCTCTGCGCTGCTGGTTGCTCTGCTCGCTGCGACAGCGGCGGTGCGGCCGGCGGCAGCAGCGCCAGCGCCGCGCTCGGATACACCATCCTCAATTTTTCTAAACTTTTTTATTGCGTTTGGCGGTGACTCTGCCGCCGCGGGCGTCGCGTCCCGTCGCGTCCGCAGCGCGGCGCAGCCGTTCCAGGGAAGGGGTCGTCGTCTCGCCAGTCATTACCAACTGCCACCCTTTAAGCCCGCGCCCCGCCCCGCCCCGCCCCGCCCCGCCCCGCCCCGCCCCGCCCCGCCCCGCCCCAGCACCACCTCGCCGACGCAGCACTCCGTTCGCTCTGTTTACGCGCGGTCCGTGTTTTATGCGGAAAGTTATGATTGAGCGGCTGGCGGCGGAGGAGACACGTCGTCGCCAAAGAAAAACAAAGCACTATCTTGACGCGGACGCGGCAAAGTCAGACTGATGGATGCCGGGGACAGCGGGGCGCGGCGCGGCGCAGCGGCCGCTTTCATTTAACTTCATCTTATCGCGTTGCTTGCTATTGACACTGAGGAGGAGGAGAAGATTGGGTGCGGGAGCTCTGCCTCCACCAGTTCGTAGTTGTCCTCACGCCCTCCCGGTGTGTTGCAGGTGGGCTCTGACGGCCCTGACGGCGTCCACGGCCATGCGCCGCCTCGGGCCGTACGCCCCGGCCGCCAGGTGAAGCCAGCAAGCAGACCTCGGACTTCGGACCTCGGACTTCGGACCTCGCCACCGCCATGGCCTCGTCGTGGCACAGGCTGTGCCTGTGGCTGGCGCTTCTGCTGGCCTCGGCCTCCACCTGCCTCGGCCACTTCAACCTGTTCATCAGTCAGGAGGAGGTCCGCCAGCTCATGGGTGAGTCTAAACGAACGAGTGGAGCTGGAGAAATCATTTCGCGGAGTCCTACACTCACGACAGTGTAGTGGAGTACTGAGGCGGCATGAGAATCGCATGCGGCCATGCGGGGCGCTGGAGTAAACGCCCCGACGCGCTCCCCAGCTGCTGTGCGCGACGCGTGGGGAAGAGGGGCCGCGTGGGTGTGCGTGCGTGTGTGTGTGTGTGTGTGTGTGTGCGTGTGTCCTCGTGTGGTCACCCACTGTGTGTCGCCGCAGTCCGCAGAGGGACGCCCAGCCGGAAATGAACTCGGCACCCCCTCCTTCCCACCCCCTTCCCCCTCCCCCCCAGCACGCCCCCTCCCAGAAAGCGCGTCTCGTGTTGCCTTCCAAGCGCTGTCTCCGCAGGCTGCCCAGCCCAGTGCGCCCGCCGACGGCGGCGTAGGCAACCCGAGCAGCGGTCGGACGCCGGAGCGCGGCGCGTGGCCTACCCCGCGCATCGCAGGCGCCTCGGCTCGGCTGCCGCGGCACAGTGGACCAGAAGACCGGCGGCGGCGGCCAAAACTCTTAGACGTGTTTTGGGCTCCAGAGTCGCTAAATGGGACTCGAACCGAACGTGTGACCCCACCAATAGATTGCTCCTCAGAATGAGGAATCCATTGGTGGGGTCACACGTTCGGTTCAAGGCCTGTTCAGTGACTGGAGCTCAAAACGCGTCTAGAGTTTTGGCCGCCGCCACCGGTCTTCTGGCCCACTGTGCGCGGCCCGACAACTGCCGCCGACAACTGCCAACGGCTTTCGACTCCCGGCTTTCGGCAAACTGCGGACGGCCCTCCGCCTTATCGCCGCGGAGCCGCCAGCCAGTCCCTGCAGGCTACACTGCTTTCGTCGCTCTGTCCCTCTCGCACCTCCGGGACGCGCCGTGAGTGCGACAGAGACGGAGCGACGAGGCGATCCTTCCGAATGAGCCCACTGCTGTCGGAGGGAGGAACTCGGCGAGGCCCCGCTGGAGGGAAGTCTGCGCGCGTGGCGGCGTGGCCTCCGCGACGTGGCCCCCGCGCCGAGGCCCATAAAGGAGGCCGTGCGGGTGATGGCGGTTCATTCCTCGGCCCGCTCGACGCGGAGCGACTCGCCTCAGGCGCGCTCGGCTGCAGCGAATTTCCCGGAATTTCCCGGCCGCTGAAGCGAAATGCCTATCGGGCGATGGGACTCGGCGGGACGCGATGGGACGTCGCCCGCCGCGATGAGGGGGACTATAACTCACGCCGGGCTGTCCGTCGCAGGGCCGTGGCAGGGCCGCGGCAGCGGGGTCCCGGCAGGGGCCTGGCTGTCGTGCGGCCGTCCAAGTCCGCCGCTGCGGCCCACCGGGACCAAATGACTTGCGTTTTGTGGTCGGCCTCCCGCGCGTCGGCGGGTACACTGCCGAAAAAAGGCACGCCACGGTCGACCGCCGCCACGCGGCCGAACCCGCCCGAACTCGTTGCGAGAATGGGACCGACGGCGAGGGCGCAGCCGACTGATTCCGAGAGTCGTTTTTCGTCGCTCTGTCTTTCTCGCACCTCTTGGGTGCGACAGAGAGCGTCGAAAAGGTTCTCGGAATCGGTCCGCTGGCCGCGGCGCTTTTAGGTAACTAATCACTAATCGGCGCGCCGGCCTCGTCCCTCCCAATCTGGTTGACGTTTCCGCCGCGACTCCCCTTTGCCCGTGCGGCAAGCCGTCGATGCCGGGCTGCCTGCCTGGCTGCCTGCCTGCCTGCCTGGCCGGGCCCCGCCCGTCGAAACCACGGCCTGATTAGAAGTGGCTTGTCCGTGCCTCGCTGTCCGCGGTGTCCCGAGCCCTCGCCGGCGGTTACTGGCGTTCCGGTGCTGCCCCTTCCCCTGGCCGTCGGCGGCCGTCGGGGCGGTGGGGGACTGCGGGGGGCGTCCCCGGCGGAAAGTTAACAAGCTGAAATCAGGGCGGTGGCAGGCAACCCGCGCCGCAACCGTCGAGGCCCAGTCTGCGGTCTCTTCAGATGACGAGGCGGGGCGGGGCGGGGCGGGGTGGGGCGGAGCGGTACTTGGAGAGGCGACCGCAGCCCGACCGGCCGGGGCCATCTAATTGCGGTGCGTCCGACGTCCCCGACGTCCCCGACGTCCCCAGCAGGACAGGCGGCGGTCGAAGGGAAGGCGCAGTGTGCCGTGCCCGCCGTGCCCGCCGTGCCCCACGGGGGGCGCTTTCATCCCGTGAAAGGCGCCCCGCCCCGCCCCGCCCCACCTCAGCCCGCCCCGCCCCCGCACACGCTCGGCGCGGCGGGCCCACAACTACCATTGATGATGAAAAATTAAGCAAGCCGCCGTCACCCCTCCCCGGCGCGGGGCGCGCGGCCTCGGGGGCTTTTCGTTGTGTGGTTTGCGCCGCACCCCGCGGCGGCCCGGCCTGGGCCTCGCCCTGCTTGTAGGGCCCGCTGCGCCGCGCTGCGCCGCGCCACGTCATTGTCAAATTCGGCGCCACGCGCCGCCACGCGGGCAAACAACATGTACGCCCAAAAGCCGGCGGCAAGCGCACCGCCCTGTGTGTACCTGCACCGTCATTGCCTGTGGGGTGTGAAGGCGGTGGTCGCCGGCCTAAAGCAGGCAGGCAGGCAGGCAGGCAGGCAGGCAGGCAGGCAGGCAGGCAGGGCCCGGCAGGCAGGCAGGCAGGCAGGCCAGGCAGGCAGCGGCAGCAGCAGGCGGCAGGCAGGCAGGCAGGCAGCAGCAGGCAGGCAGGCAGAGCAGGCAGGCAGGCAGGCAGGGAGGCAGGCAGGCAGGCAGTGCAGCGCAGGCAGCCAGCAGGCAGGCAGGCAGGCAGGCAGGCCAGGCAGGCTCAGGCGGCAGGCAGGCAGCAGGCAGGCAGGCAGGCAGCAGCAGGAGCAGGCAGACAGCCGGCAGCAGGCAAGGCAGGCAGGCAGGCAGGCAGGCAGCCAGGCCAGGCAGCAGGCAGGCAGCTGAGGCAGGCAGGCAGGCAGCAGGCAGCAGGCAGCAGGCAGCAGGCAGCAGGCAGGCAGGCACCCGCCAGCAGGCAGGCAGCAGGCAGGCAGCAGGCAGGCAGGCAGGGAGCGCAGGCCCGGCAGGCCCGGCAGGCAGGCAGCTCAGCCAGGCAGGCAGGCAGGCAGCGCAGGCCAGGCGGCAGGCACCCGGCATGCAGGCAGAGAGCAGGCAGCAGAGCAGGCAGGCGGCACCCAGGCAGGCAGCGCAGGCAGGCAGCAAGAGCAGAGCAGCAGGCGAGGGAGGCAGCCAGGCGCGCAGGCCACGGCACGGCAGGGCTGCGCGGGTGGGCGGCAACGCAGCAGCAGGCAGACGACGGGCGCGGCAAGTGCTGGCAGCAGTGTCGCGGGCGCCACACAGAGCCATCTTGGAATTTGTGCCGCGCGTTTCCCGGCAGCGACGCCCGACGCGTCGTAAACCGCCGGGCACAAAGCGGAAGGCACAATGAGTGAGGAGGAGGAGAAGGCTGCGCCTCGGCGTGACGCGTCGAGCCGAGCCGCTGAAAGCAAAGCAGCGCCAGCCAGCGCCGTTTTCATCGCTCTGTCTCTCTCGCACCCACACAGGACGCCCCATGAGTGCGAGAGAGACAGAGCGAGGACTCTCGGAATCAGCCCGCAGCTCAGCGGGGGCGTTTAGAGAAACGACCAGCCAGTATCTCTCTCTGTGGAGACATTATACCGTCCTCACTCCTGCTGGAAGTGGCGGCCTAGCACCCCATCCAGGACCTCGGCCCGTCGCCCCGTCGCCTCGCCGCTCGCTCAGGCTAAACGTCGCGCCGAGTCGCCGGCCCGTTTACGGATCGGCACGATGATGGCTCGTCGTTGGAGTTGCTTAATTCGCCGCCGGTTGTAAATTTATCATGGAAATGGGGGGAGGAGGGCGCTGCGCGCGGCGGGCTGCCTACGCGGCGCGTGGTGGGCGCCGTGCCGGCCGAGGCCAAGACTTCGCGCTGTTTCTGTTTGCTCAGCGGGTTCCGCCTCAGACGTGCAGATTGCCATGGATGCGCTAGGGTGCTTTGCCGGCACGGCTAGGCTGCACGGCGACACTCTTCTCGAGCTGCAGGACGTCGCGTTGGCCCAGATTGCACTACTTGCTCCACCAGGAGGGGGAGGGGGCACGCGACAGTCGTGGAATAAAGTTTGCGGCGAGTGGTTGGCGGCCCAGACGCCGTCTCCTGTTTTATGAACGACTCCCGTCAAGGGCCACAACCTCCAGGATGGGCCGGGCGGCACAACACTGGAACACGCCGTCGCGGTGGTCAAGACCGTCAAGGCCGTCAAGGCCGTCGTAAAGGCGGCGAAGGGCCGCTTGCTTTTCACTCGCCGCTCGCTCATCGCCAGCCGCAGACTGATTCCGTTTTCGTCGCTCTGTCTCTCTCGCGAAAACGACTCTCGGAATCAGTCTGCTGGCCGGGCCGCGCGGGTATCGGCCTTGGACACGACTTGGAGCACCTCGTCGGGGATTCGGCGGCGAGTCGCACACGGCGCCCGCACTGGAGGGGCGTCTCGAGTGGCCGCCCGTTTTATTGCTACATCTTCGCTGAGTGTGCAGTGTGGGGGCGGGGCGGGTGGACAATATCGTTTCATTTCGCCACCTTTCGGCTAACGCCCTCGCCGCCTCACTGCTTATGAGGCAAAATGGCCTGCTGGCCCGGGTTCGAGTCCCGCCGTCGGCGGCTGCGGCCAGCTTCCCGTCCCGCGCGCGCACCGCCGGAAAAAGAAAATAAAAGTAGTAAATCCGCGGCCCCTTTTGATGTGCAACTTTGTAGGCTTCGCGCAGATGATGAGGGCGGAGTTGGTGGAGATGAGAAATGAATGATGAAAAGCACGACAAAAAGCACGACCGCCCTCCCTATCACTGTAAGTCCCTGGAGGGCCCGGCGCGGCCTGGAGCGGCCTGGAGGCCCGAAGGCCTGGAGGGAAGGGACTGCCGAGCTGCTTTTCGGCCTCGGTGAACTCATCGGCGGGGATTTGCGCATCCGCCGTGTGATGCTATTAGCAGACCCCCGTCCACCTCGGCC